GTGACCTACTTTCGGTGTGACCACTGGTCTAACAAGTTATGCATAATAATCACCAGGGTTCAAATTCAAAATTTAACCTTCCTTAACCAATATCCGATTGAGGCCGAAGAAAAAAAGTATTTGAATTTGAAATATGGAAAGAAAAAAAGTGTTTTCAAGTTAAGTTATGTTTGGACATGAACTTAACATAAAAAACTTTATCGAAAATTTGCAGCAAAATTGCATTTATTTCTCTTAAACAAAAAATTTCAATATTTCACTAACATTAACTTAAATTGCGATTACATTTCTCAATCATACTCAAACCTATAGAATATAAAGTTAAATTATTAATTCACTTAAATTGTGTTAGTTTACTTGAATTTGGGCCCGTGCACAACACGAGTCATCCCTTAAGAGGTCGTTTGGTTGCCGGTTAGACTTGTGCAAGTATTAGTTATGCATGTATTAATTATGCAGGAATAAGTAATGCAGAGATTAGTTATGCATGAATTAGTTATGCAGGGATTAGTCCTTGAGTAATGCATGTGAAATTCAAAAAAAGGGCCATGCTAATTATAGTGTATATAATTCTTTCTTGGATTTTGGTTGAATTTTTTGCTATATTGTTACACACTTTATTTAGTAATTCAAAAACATCATAGCACAATATTGTTATTTGCTGGAGAAAATGGCAGTGAAAAGTTTGCTAGAGAAAATGGCAATGATTTGTGATAAATTTGTCATTTCAGTATTTTATCCATGTATTACTAACATATGTATTAGTTATTCCACCTTCAACCCCGCATAAAATAATACACAGATTGACTCATAACTTATACATATATTATTTATGTAGAATTGTAAAATGCCAACCAAACATGGTATAAGTTATGCTGAATTTGGTACAAAATAACTAATGGCTACCAAATAAGGTATAAGTTATGTTACCCCTAATACATGAATAATTTTTTCCTTAACCGGCTACCAAACGACCCCTAAAAGTAATGATAAATAATCATGAAAAGAATCAATGGCGGAGCCGCCTTAGGCTAAATTGGTACCCATTCGCTTGAAAATTATATTGTATAGCTATGTCAAAATTTTATTTTTATATACGTATACTATATTTTGAATTCTTAACTTCTTCGTGTATTTACTTTTTTATATTTTGACGCACCTTAGTGAAATTCTTGGTTTCATTACTGCCTGCCATTACCATTAAATTTGACGAGCACCAAATTTAATTTCCATATTAGTAAGAAGTTGTTAAACAAATGGCGAGTTATATATTAAACCGGATTCAATCGACCTGATGAGATGACGAGATTAATATTAGTGTTAGCACTGTTCTCTGTTAACAAAATTTTGAATTTACTGAATACTTCTAAAAACATTACGGTTTGAGTTGCAGCAAAGTTGAGATATGAGTTTCCATTTGGGCTTCTAAACAACATCGGACTTCTCTTCTGGACAGACCAATTTCTGTGAGAGAAACCTATAGAAATGTCTCATATATGCGTGATTAGTAAAATTAGAAGCANATATATATATATATATATATATATCCAAGAATCTAAGCAAAAAATGGACCTTTTTCAATGGGTACAGCTGAAATTCATTGAAAACATATAGATAAGTCAACATACAAAATTTGAGGAAGATTGGAGATGCTATGGACTGGTTTGATATCAAAATTCATAACTAAATCGAGTTCAAAAAATTCTTATGCGACACATATATCATACTTGTATCTCACACATAGGTATACATAGATATACATGTAACACACAATTGATATAAATATGATACACAGGGTGATACACATATCATTTTTTTCATGTTCATTTTTTACTTTAATTTTCAATTCAAACCACCTCAAAATTCCACCAAATCATCCCAAAACCGAGATTCAAGCTCCTTAAGATATACCCAATCTATTCTAATAACACCCACTCAAAAGAAAGCAAAAAATTTGATCTTTTTCGCTACAAATAGCTAATTGGCTACTATTAATAATATTTGACTAATATTAATAATATTTTACGAATTAACCAATTTTTATAATAAACTACTTATAAACGGACATAGCGGGTGATTTCCCTTACATTGAATGGGTTTGGCAGCAGCCTTATGCAACCCAGTTGTGTTTTACCCAACCACAAAATTATTTCACAAAATTAAACCATGTAAAGGGGAAACAATTTGGTCCTTTCTTGTCTCCCTTTTTTCCATAGAACTAGTAATGTGATGCAGAAACAGACACGAAAAAAATGTACCTTCAATGTGTGAACTCTTAGTGGTCGTCTAGTAGGAGGTAGAAGAGTGTTGAATAAAGTGTATTAGCAATGCTGATATTAATAATATTTATATTAGTTATGCTGATATTAATTACGTTGAGATTATATGTTATGAACCAAGCTCACTCCATATGAGCCTACGGGCTAGAAGTGGTGAGTGAGACTGAGTTAGAAGAGATTGGGCTGAGTAAAATATTGGAGAGTTTTATTTGGGATCCAGACTTATTAAAAAAAGGACTATCAGACAGAAAGAAAGGTTTATGCCTATTGTTGAATGAAATGTCTGCTCCTCCTCATCTTCCTTCTCCCCTGTATCATCTCGTCTGAGCTTCTCATCCCTTTTCTCCTTTTTTTGTATTTCAGTTTAGTATCTTGTAATTTCCGGTCACTGTTGAAGTAATAGAAGTGTTTGAATTAGTGGTTTGTTACATTGGTGCTTTCATCCATCGGACTCCAATGGAGGTACTAGATCGATTCAGCGGCAGCGGTAACCCAGAGAGTTGGCTTTTTCGGGCCGAGCGATACTTCAATTACCTTGGCTTCGCCGAGAAGGATTGGCTACCTCTTCCTTCCTTTTACCTCGATGATGAAGCTCTTAATTGGTTCAATTGGTTGTTTCGGAACAAGTAATTTTTTGATTGGACGCATTTCAAAGCGAAATTTGCTCACCACTTTCGACAACAAACTGCCATATATTCGGTGAGGCGTTTCGTTGGTTCCTCATATGTTAGTTTTGACTACATTGATACTGTCCCTATAGTTTCACAATCAACTATGGTGTCTCCTTTTCCTGTTTCGAGCCTTTTTCCGAAGACATCAGCATTTGAAACAGCTTATGAAACTGAAAACTCAAAGGCGGACCATATGTTCGATAAATTGCCAGTGACGTATGAAAATTTAGATTCCTTGACATTGATTACTGGAAGCGGTACTGAGATTGTCAGTCTTGAAGATATAGAAGCACCTCAAATTTGGAATGCAAATTCAGTAGAGGTAGTGGAATTGGTACAGGAACCTTGTGCTATCACTGAAGATCATGTGCGCGACGACATTTCACTCGTCGTAGTGAGCTCCGACATTCATGATCTTAATGCTCTTGTCCACGAGAGAAACAATTCTGTTACTACAGTATCCACAGTTTGCAACGATAGCTGCTATGCAAATGCCAGCTTCCCAACCAAAGTCCATACGGAGGCGTTAGATGATACCACCAGATCTGATGATGGGGAGGAAGAAAATTCACGAGATTCTACTATGACTGGGGTGTTTGACAAATTTCCTCAATGGGATACATTGGATTTCCTGGTTTTTACTAGCCAAGGAATTGTGGTGTCGAATGCGAGTGTGAGATTTGACGTAATAGATTTTCCATTTGATGGTACCCTATGGTTTGGCACAATTCCATGGTTGAGTAGTTATCTTGAAGAAATTGGTGGGGCTAATCAAAATCAGATGTCGCTTTTTAGCTTACACAAATGCAATTGGGTTGATACTGGACAAGTGTGCAATTTTTCCGGATTCTTGTTGTCTAAATCCAGAGAGTGTGCTAGGGAACAAAAAATACAGCGAGGGCTGCAGGTATTAGATGACAGTTACTCCAAGCAATCACCGCATGTTGGGGTGGAAAAAGCTGTTGGACTCTTATTTTCTCTGTTTGGTCTAGTTCATAAGGCAAGTTATGTGGACACGTGGTTCGACACTATGCAGGTATTTAAGGTTGCTTTGGGTAGAGTTGATATGAGTGTTGCACACAATGGTAATTCCATAAAATCTTGCGCAATGTACACGTTACTGGGAGTCTTTAGAAAATTCATTTATGTGATCTGTTGCTGATGCTACTACTCCAATTGAGGAGCAATACATAATTGATCAGCTGAGGTCTTTTTTGTGTGGAAGGACTCTTGAGCTAAGTGTGTTACACCATGCATTAACTTTCATAATGGTGGTACAGATTAATGAAACTATTACTATCAGAGACGAACTTGTAGAGTTTGTGTCACACCTCCTTTTTCCGCCCCGCGCCGCCTCAAAAGGGCACGGAAGGGAGTTTTTTTCAATTAAAGGACAATCGAAACAGAATTTATTTATTTATTTCAGAGTCGCCACTTGGGAGATTTAGGGTGTCCCAAATCACCAATTTTAATCCCGAATCGAGGAAAAGAATGACTCTGTATTACAGTCCGCGAACCAGAAATCCGGATAAGGAATTCTGTTAACCCGGGAGAAGGTGTTAGGCATTCCCGAGTTCCGTGGTTCTAGCACGGTCGCTCAACTGTTATATTCGGCTTGATTATCTGATTTTATACA